CCACCCCCAGCCTTACCTGCCCCACTGTGACTCTTACCTTTTCTGTGGTAACTACCCAGAAGTTGGGACTGTGCCATATGGGAGAAGCAGGATTTGTATTTGAATACAAACAACTAAGTTGATTCTTCCTGATCTAAGGGGGCAGGGAGAATGAAATGACCATAGGCATGCTTTAGGAGATTAGACTTGAAACCTAAGAGATTGACTTCAGGGTATTCTGGGTTTCTGTTTTTCTGGTTAGGCCCTTATCTCACCTAACTGCTCAGCATTCAGTTTTCTTTTTCTTCTCCAGGCATCTGGGTGGCCACTATCAATGAGAGGAGAGAGTGCTACCTAGTCCCCAGCTAGCCAGAGAATCACTGTGTGTGATTACAAAGTTGCATGTGACTGCCTGGAAGGAGGCAATGAGTCAAGGACACTGAGAGCTTCCGGTTGGATCCAGTTGGAGTTGCCCCTTTCTCTCAGCTAGTAGCCAAGGCCAGGTCAACACCCACCACTGCCCTGCTAGGTTGGCATTGGCTCTGAATGAGCCAGCTTAGGTGAATCAACCAGCTTAGGTGAGGGGCCCCCAGCCATTGTGTGTGTTCATTGATGCTATGGTAGTTTCCCTGTGACTGGGGTGTGGTTTTCCTTCTGGCTGTTTCTGCTGGATTTGATTAAGTAGAGAGAATAGGGCTATTATTATTATAAATTGCTATTACTATTATTATTTTAGTACCTTCACTTTTTTGTTTGTTTACGTCTGATTGATACATTTTCTAAATACACAACTTTTTTTTAAGATTTATTTATTGATGCATACAAGAACTGGGGTACAGGCCAGAGATGTGGGTGGTGAGAGGATCTACCACAGACAGAGTGGGGAGCAGAATAGGTGGATGAACTGAAATACACTGTTGAGGGGAGCAGCAGGTGGGCCAGAAGAGGTCTGCCACCACATGCGGGTCAGCTCCCTGGTCAAGGATGGAACTCCTGCGAACTCCTGTGGGAGTTGGCTGCCCAGAACTTCATAGTGCTGAGCTCTAACCCCTTCCACCACCAGGGAAGGCCCTTAATACACACCTTTGAACAGATTCCCTTCCCCAGACAGTCTGCTGAAAACCACAGTTTGATTGGCCTGAGGAATGGAACTTGATATTACCTGAGAGGAACCATTGTTTTTAGAGGAATATTGAATTACAGAAGAAAATTCCTGCTGGAGAGTCAAAGGATTGAAGCAGGTGTATGTTCTAGCAATTAATCTCCCAGGTTGTTTCAAAAGGGATGACAAGTCAACATCCTTTCCCTTAATTTGGCTGACCCCCTTAGGGCCCTTTGGGAATATTTACCTTCCTTGATCAAGTCTCATCTTCCCACTAAAGTTTTCCTGATGATGACACCATCTTTACATCTTCAAAGTTCATTGTCTCATTCTCTTGTGCCCTTTACAGTTCCTGTTTTTTAAATTTATTTACTTATGCATAGGAGAACTGGGTGTAGGCCAGAGGTAGGGGAGTTGAGAAGATTCACCAGAGACAGAGTGGGGAGTAGAACAGGCAGATCTACTGAAATACACTGCTGAAGGTAGCGTGGGTGAGACAGGAGAGGTCTGCTGTGCCCTGTGGGTCAGCTCCTTGGCCAGGGGTTGAATTTAGGTCTTGATGGTGACAGTGCTGGAACTTACCCTCTAGGCCACCAGGTTG